TGTCCTGACCGCCATGGCCCCGGTAGATTCGACAGTTGAGGGACAGTCCACCTCGACTGCTACAAACCCTGCCCAGGAAACTGTGGACCTACAAGCATTAATCGAGCTATTGAAGAATCTGACAAGCAACATCAACGAACTCCGCGACGAGAACCAACAACTTTGCCAGGCGCAGGAGAAGCGTCCAGAGGAGCTGGGCGACAATGCACGAAGTGAGGCGGGTGAGCAGCAACCGTCGCCAGTGGATCCAGCACGACTAGCGGCAACAGCCCCGCGCTCGACAATTGGCGGCGTAAGATATCAGCAACCTGCTCCTTTCGACCCAGTTAATAAAGGCGTGACAGTGCGGCAGTGGATATTCGCCATGAAGATCTATTTTAACGCGGCGGGCATCAGAGAGAATCAGAAGCGGATCAGCCAGGTGTCAACACTTTTGCAAGGGGCCGCCCTACAGTGGTGGATGGTCATTATCGACCCAGTGGCAAGTCGCACAAAAGGACAGCACGAGTGGTCCGAAGAATTCGGCGACAAAGACGAGGCAGGCCTGTTTCTCAGAACGACCCATATTCGCACGTGGGCAACGTGGTGCGCAGAGCTCCGCAAGCGGTTTGAGCATGCACCTGACTCAGACAAGGCACGCAAAACTCTACGCATGTGAAAGCAGCTGGGATGTGTGCCCGAGTACACCGCGGCGTTCCTGACGTTGGTGGACAGATATGGCTACATGCACGAGTTGGAGAAGGTCGACAGGTACATGGGCGGCTTGAAGCCTGAAATACAGATAAAACTGCAACGCCCTGCAAAGCGGTTACAAGACTACATCCAGCTTGTCGAAGCCACTGATCAGCTGGACGAACTTCTACGACGGAGGTCGCCTTTGAGAACAGTACCAGCGCGCCACGATAAAAGGGGTGGATGCAGTGGATGTGTACGCAATTGCTTCGTGAAATACGGGGCTATGCTACCATTGTGGCCGGCCGGGTCACATCCGACGCAACTACCAAGAATTCATAGCCCTCCAAAATTCTATGGGGAAGAAGCCGGAAGAGCGACCGGGAAATGGGTCGCATCAGTAAGTACCGTACCCCTTACTGACGGGTAGGCTTCTTCGCCTGAACCACACAGTCCCCACTGGGTCGTGATCCCGATTTCCGCAATCGACCAGACCCGGACGAATAAGGGGAACGAAATTGCTGATCACCCTGTGTTGGTGGAGGGTAAAGTCAACGGGGTGTTTTTGAAGATTTTCGTTGATGGAGGCGCAAGTCACGGTCTCATACAGTTGGACAGGGCTAAAAAGTTGGGTATACCCTTCCTAAGGTTTTTACCTGAAGTTGACGCCCGACTAGTGGATGGCACGCCGCTGGAAATACGGGAACGGGTGGAGAACGTTAGTAATACGTGTGTGAAGCATGTAATATTCCGGATGGGGTTGCTGGCGACAACTCTTGATGGGTGCGACGTGTTGCTAGGATGTGATTGGTTGCGAAGGCACAACCCGAAGATCGACTGGACGACGGGCGGCTGCAGCATCAAGCTCAATGGGATTTCCCGCAAGTTGCCCAAGTGGACGGGGCCTCGCATGTGAAGCACCCAAGTCCATGCAATCACCTTCAAGAAGACGATGCGGGCTAGAGCCGAAGCAGACGTCGTTGATCTTCGCGAGTTAGTATCGACGGTCGAAGACGAACATATTGAGAAGCTGTGCAAGGACGTCCCTCCGGATTTAGCGGACTTGATTCGGAAATACCCAGAGTTTTTTCTGGACGATCTGCTAGTTGGACTCCCGCCGAGCTGGCATGAGGACCACCAAATCGAGCTAGAACCAAGCGCCCAATCAACTGTACAACGCCAATTACGGCTCAGCCAACCGGAACTGGAAGAATTACAGCAGCAGCTGGATTATCTTATGGAGAAAGGTTTTATCCCGCCTTGTACGTCACCATACCCTGCCCCGATCTTGTTCACGCCGAAGAAGGATCGGGGATTCCGAATGTGTATTGACTACCGCGCGCTCAACCGGATCACCATCAAGTTGCGTTACCCGATCCCGCGAGCTGGCGAACTTCTCGACCAACTTCGCGGAGCCAGGGTTTTCTCGAAAGTCGTTTTGCGTGGAGGTTACCACCAAATTCGCATCGTCGCCGAAGATTGTCACAAGACGGCATTCCGAACCCGATACGGCAACTACGAGCACCTGGTGATGCCTTTTGGACTCACAAACACACCCTCGACCTTCCAAATGACCATGAATGGAATTTTCAGGGAACTCTTGGACAAGTGCGTCATCATCTACCTCGACGATATCTTAATCTACAGCCGTAGCAAGGAGCTGCACTTAAAGGATCTGGATGCAGTCTTCATGCTGCTGCACAAGAACCGCCTCATCACAAAAGGGTCTAAGTGCGACTTTCTTAAGCAAGAATTGGAGTTTCTGGGCCACATCGTCTCTACTGAAGGAGTGAAAATCGACCCGAAGAAGATCAAGACCATCCAGGAATGGAAGTTGCCACGAAACGTCAAGGAGCTGCAGAGTTTTTTGGGCTCCGTCAATTACGTCCGCCATTTTATCCCCAATATGGCTGGGTTATCCGCCCCGCTAATTGACCGACTGAAGGATCACGATTGTTTTTGGTGGGGGGATAAGTAGCAAGCTGCATTTGATGAACTGAAGATCGCCCTCACGTCGCCGCCCGTCCTTGGCATCTCCGATCTTGCCTGTCCATACGAAGTCATCACCGACGCTAGCGACATCGCCATCGACGCATTTCTTCTACAGGATTTCGGCGAAGGGTTAGAGCCGGTCGCCTACGAATCACGGAAGGTGCAGGTTGCTGAGAAAAATTACACAGTACACGACAAGAAGATGTTGGCAATCGTCCACGTGTTCAAGACCTGGCGGTGCTACCTGACAGGCGCTGATGCCACTGTGTGAACCGACCACAAATCCCTATAGTTCCTGCGAGCCCAGCCCTAAACCCACGACAGATCCGATGGCTCGATTTCCTCGAGTCAAATTTCCACTACACCATCACCTACAAACGGAGCGCCAACAACACTGCTGATGCCCTGACCCGACCCACCGCCCATACAGCTGCCATACTAGTCGCCCCGACCAGCCCACTCCTTATAGGACTATTTACCCACGGCTACAGAGTTGACCCCTTCTTCCGCTCTTCCATTCACCAACATCATACTACCGCTACCGGACATTACTTCACCAAGCGTGACACTTTCCGCATCTGAGTTCCCGGCTACGACTTACTTTCCACCGTCTTAATCCAGGAATCACATGACAACCCAAACTCTGGGCACTTGGGAGTCGACAAATCATGAAGACGTTGCAGCGCAATTATTACTGGCCGAACATGGCCGACGACGTGGGCAAGTACGTGTCCTCCTGCACCGCCTGCCAAATCATGAAGTCATCCCAAAAGCGAGCAGCCAGACTCCTACAGCCGTTGGATCCGCCCGAGAGTCCCTGGCAACACGTCACGATGGACTACGTGATAGGACTGCCGACCGGTCCCAGCGGAAACAACGCCATCCTCGTGGTCGTTGACCGACTCACGAAAATGGCGCACTTCATCGCGTGCCAACAGAAAATTACAGTTGAGCAAACTGCCCAACTGTTCATCGCCAACGTCATCAGATTGCACGGAATGCCCACCGCCATTATTTCAGACCGAGACCCGAAATTCACATCGAATTTCTAGCGCCACCTGTGGGACCAATTCGGCACCAAACTACAGTTTTCCTCCGCCTACCACCCACAGACCGACGGGCAGACCGAACGAGTCAACTAAACTATGGAGCAACTCATTCGGACTACCTGTACTAATCCACAAACATGGGAGAAATCCCTTCCGCTGTTGGAATTCGCATATAATAACGTGCCTTCCGCCACAACCCACCAATCCCCATTCTTCATAAATTACGGACACGACCCCGTGGTACCCTCTACACCCAACATCGAGACACCCGTGCCCCGGTCCCAACGCTTTGCCGAAGATATTCTAACAGCCCGAGAAAAAGCAGTTGAGGCAATCTGCAAAGCCAATCTGGTCGCAAGCTGACAAGCCAATCGCCACCGACGTAACGTCACCTACAAAGTGGGAGACCTCGTACTATTCGACTCTCGCAACTTGCGCCTGCCGATTCCGAGCAAACTCCGCCCCCGCTTTTGTGGTCCTTTTCAAGTGACCAATATGGTGACACCTGTCACAGCGCATCTTCGACTTACAGCTGATTGGCTTCACCACCCGGCTTTCCGCGTCAGCTTTCTGCGACCCCACGTCCCAAGTTCCTCGGATTTAGCCCGTCAACGCATCGCCCCGCAGCTGACGCCCCTGCAAGAACCGACAATCGAGCCTCTGAAAATCCTCGGCCATCGAGTCACAACGCAGCAGAACCGTCGGATGGTGGATTTTCTCATCCGCTGGCGCGATCGGACCTCCGAGGATGAGAGCTAGGAACCCCTAACTGATCTAGATTCACACCCGATTCTAACATCGTATTATCAGCGTCGGAATGTCTCCGATGCCCGCGGTCTCGTTTAGGAGGGTGGGGGGGGGAGGGGAGGGGGGGTAGTGTAAGGAATTTCCATTCCTTACTGCGTCGTACGCTAGCGAGTACACCCGAACTCCTCGACTCTTCACGTTCGGCCTTATTTGTCGGCCCAACCCTTCCCCGAGTCGCGTCCGGCACTGTCGCCACATTGCCGAACCTACCCACGTTCCGAGGTTATCGCCCTAGCACGCCAACCCCTATATAACCCCGTGCCTTCATTGCAGTAGCGACCTTGTATTCCCCCCACGACATCGTTCATTGACATTTCCTATAACAAGTTCTGACATCTGTAACTCACCCCCATACGGTTACCCTTGATCTAGGTTCGCCACAACGAACGCCACGTTCTGGGGGCAACCCTAGATGGTGGTGCACTGTAGCTCGCGACATGCTTTATGTGTTGGCTGGCAGCTCTCTCACTGTGTGCGGTTCTCCCCCCGTCCTGTCTGTGCTCGGTTGCGGCACTCGCACAGCACTCACACCTTCCCACCTAGACTCTTCGTCTCATCTCCTTGTACACCGCGCTCTAGCAATTGGCATCGATAGCCAGCCACGTCGCTCAGGAGAATTCGTCCCGCGATTCATCGGCGAGCTCAGCGCCACTAGATGCGAAACCCCGCGTCGGCAAGCGATTCATTTCTTCTCATTCGACCGTCTTTCTCAGCCCGCCGCGACTCTTTCTTCGCGTAGCGTCCGCCGACTGCAGCAGTCGGTAGCCGGTAGCCTGCTGCGGGCGACTGGCGGTGAGGGCACCTGGGCGGCGAGGTCGCAGTGTGCGGCGTGGGTGCAGGCGGGAGTGAGCGCGGAGCAGCAGCAGGCGCGGGTGGTGCGTGACTGGCCCGATGGGGTGGCGGCCATACTGAGGCCGAGACCGCGCTCCGCCGCGCTCTGAGCGAGTGGCGGCGTCGCGCGCGCGGAGGCATTGGCGGCGACCGCCATGCACCGCTCGGGCACGTTCCCCGTCGCCACGCTGGACGGCGACGGCGACTTGAGCCCCTCCCGCGACTTCCCCCGCGACTTCCCCCGCAGCCACAGCAGCACCAGCAGCGGCTTCCCCGCCGCCCTCCGCGGGGCGTACGACGCGCTCGACTTCGACGACCCTCACCGCCTCGCCTCCACCCCCCCGGCCTCCGTGCCGCGCCCGCGCCACCACTCCCCGCGCCACCACCATCCCCACCAGCAGCAGCACGGCACGAGCGCAACCCGCCATGTTTCGTACCAGCCGGGCCCCACCTCGTCGCTCCGCCCGCACTCCCATGCCCTCCGCGACGACGGTGGAGGCGGAGCGGCGCGCATGGCGCAGGGCGCGCAGCACCAGCGCGGCTACACCTTCGCCGCCGCGCCGATCCTGTCCCCGCACCGCCCCGGCAGCGGCGACAGCGGTCTCGGCGGGCCCTTGGGGGACTTCTTCACGGACGGGGGTGGGGAGGGCGCGCGCGGCGGATTGGGGGGGCATGCGCAAGGGGCGGGGCGGAATTTGGGCCATCTGCGCGCGGGGAGCATGGCGATAGACGCGGACCGAGGGGGGCTGGGGGAAGGCGGAAGGCGGCAGGAGGGCAGGGGCAGGCTGGGAGGAGGGTTGGGCGTGGGGGTTTCGTTTGAAGGGGGAGCGCGGGGAGTGCAGGGGAGTCTGAGCGGGGGGTTGGGGGGAGGCCCTGGCATGGGCATGGGCGGAAGCAGAAGCGGTGGGGGGGCGAGGGTGTGGGCGCGGACGCTGAGCCACCAGGCAGCGGACCTGAGCAGCACTGGCGGGGGAGGTGGGCGGCATCTGCTGGGGGGCGACTGGCTTGGCTTGGACCGCACTGTAGGTGACTGTGTGTCCATGGCGGGGGACAGTGAGTGTAGTGAAGGTCGATGATTGTGGCTGTAGCAAGGTAGATCACTTTGCCCCCTGGGAGTCAGGGAATGAGAGAGAGGGGAGATGTCCCCTGTTAAGAACGACTTCTAGAGTTTCATCCCTGGAGGGAGCGTGCGTAAGAGGCTCCTGGTGACTGGCTTTGCCCTTGGGCCTTACGCTCGTCCAGTGCCCCCGGCACGAGGCACTGAAGGGTTGAGCAAAATACCCGCGCGTAGACTTGAGCATTTTACCCGGTCGGGTCGCAGGTACCCGACCCGACCAGACATTTTGGCCGGGTCGGGTAATAGGATTTTGACGAATTACCCGGCCGGGTCGGGTCGGGTACTCGGGCCGGGTAATGCATACCCGTTACCCGAGAATTACCCGAAATGTCGGGTAATTTATTACCCGTCGGGTCGCGGGTACCCGACCCGACTTTGGGTTTGTTACTCGGGGTTTGCTGAATTTTACAGCCACCTAGGGGTACCCGGGTAATATTACCCGACTTCAATTATATGCGGGTCGGGTATACCCGACCCCCCAGACGGGTACCCAATTACCCGGTATTAAAATGTCGGGTCGGGTAACAGACCTCCAAACATTACCCGGAAATTACCCAACCCGACCCGACCCGGACCCGATTGCGGGTAGGGCAAAACCGGGTCGGGTCGGGTAATTACCCGGTTTTGCTCATGTCTACCCGCTCGGGGCGGGTACCCAGACCCAGATCCGCTATTAGGGCGGGTCGGGTATCAGGATTCCCGAATATTACCTGGCGGGTCGGGTCCGGGTTACCCGGGCGGGTATTTGATACCCGTTACCCGAAGTCTTCCCGACATGTTGGGTAACGGGTACCCGACCCGCCGGGTATTGAATACCCGATTTCGGGTACCGCCCCTCTCATGCTGGCAAAAATGCTGCTGAACCGGTTTTTTTTTTTGTTTTTTTTAGACCACGCTGTCGATGCCCACCCCGGGGGGCCACCATGACAAACACGCCAATGGCAACAGAGGGTAAAACAGAGGTTGTTCAGGCATTTTTCCATGGGCGGGTAGCAATACCTGCTTTTAGCCTAAACTGGGTCGGGTATACCCGGATCCGCCTGGCGAGTATTATATTATTACCCGGCAATAAGGGCCGGATCCGGGTAATGGTCCTGGGGGTATCACCCGACCCGGACCCAGCCCGAAAATACCCGATCCGAGGTCGGGTATGGCAAAACCGGGTCTGGTCGGGTATCCCTAAGGCACTGCATCTCCCTCTAGTGCACCGGGCACGAGGCACTGCATCTCCCTCTAGTGCACCGGGCACGAGGCACTGCATCTCCCTCTAGTGCACCGGGCACGAGGCACTGCATCTCCCTCTAGTGCACCGGGCACGAGGCACTGCATCTCCCTCTAGTGCACCGGGCACGAGGCACTGCAGCTCCCTCTAGTGCACCGGGCACGAGGCACTGCATCTCCCTCTAGTGCACCGGGCACGAGGCACTGCATCTCCCTCTAGTGCACCGGGCACGAGGCACTGCATCTCCCTCTAGTGCACCGGGCACGAGGCACTGCATCTCCCTCTAGTGCACTGGGAACGAGGCACTGCATCTCCCTCTAGTGCACCGGGCACGAGGCACTGCATCTCCCTCTAGTGCACCGGGCACGAGGCACTGCATCTCCCATCACCCGGCTCCACTCCCAACCACCTCCCCTCTTCCTTCCACCTCTCCCCTCCCTCTTCCACCTCATCCCCTGCAGTCTTCAGGCTTCGATGATGGCGACATGGTCGCCACCAATGCTATGCTGCCACGTGTCAACAGCCTGGCAGTGAATGGCAGTCGCTTCCTGGATTCGGACGACCTGTTGGATGGTCGGCAGGGGCGGGACGGCGCAGGGCTGGGCGGGGCGTGGGAGATGGACATAGGCATGGAGGGGGGCTTGGGGCTGGGCCGGGAGTATGGCCGGGAGAATGGGGGCGTGGGCGGGGCGATGGGGGGCGATGGGAGCCAGCTGAAGCGCGTGCTGCGGCTGGTGGAGGCGGCGCATGGCAACGACGCCGACCTCGTGCACGCCATCCTGCAGGACGCCCCCTCCCGCACCGCTCTGCTTTCCTCCCTCCACCCAGGTACGCTCTCTCTTCCCCCGTTCCGTTGTATTCATGCAAAAGTGGGTACATGGCTATTCACATAAGGTGAGTACACGCAAGGGCATCAATGTCACGCAGCACCACGGACCTAGGGGAGCTCCATAGCGGGCTCCAAAACCGCGAAGCAGTCCCTGAGGGACATGCCTTTGTCGGGGGCGCCGAGAGGGGGCCACTTTGCCGGGGACGCCTCATTCACCTTTCCCAGGTAGGTGAGTGCCTGACCCCGCTGGAGAGTCACAGACCAGCACTGCCAAAACCGGTTGAAGAGCCGGCGGGCTCCAGGTGTTGGCCAGGAGCTGCAGGTAGGCCAGCACCTCGGCGCATGGGCAGCCGTATGTCTCGACGGCAAGGGGGAATAGCCCCACATAGGGCGCCCTGTTGCGGTAGTGATCAATCTGCTTGTCCGCTTGCTCTCGTGCCATGTAGCCGCCCCCTTTGCGGGCCGTGGGGTTGCGCTAGACATGGGCAAAATGCGATTGCGATTTAAATCGCATCGCATTGGGGGGCGATTTAATTAAATGCGATGCGATTTTAAATCGCATCGCGCGATTTAATTTCTGGAAAAAAAAAATCGCACATCGCGTTTTGCGCGCGATGAATATGTAAACCGCATGCGGTATTTAATTAAATCGCGCGATGCGATTTTAAATCGCATCGCGTTTTAAAACAGAATAAAAAAACACCCCAAAAAAACAGAAAAAAAACCATGGCTGTTGGGAAATTGACTCACGGGCAGTCGTAAGCTAGAGTGCAAATAACCAGTGTGGTTTCGTAGTGGGTTTCAGAGTGGGTTTCAGTGCAACATCACGCGCGATTTTAAAAAAATCGCATATTGCATTTAAATCGCGTTCTTTAGTGCGATTAAAATGCGATTTAATTTAAATCGCGTGATATTAATTCATCGCATCGCGCGATGATAAAAAAAAAAAAAACGCGATTAAATGCGATGCGATGCGATTTTTTTTTGCCCATGTCTAGGTTGCGCCGTCCAGCCAACAGCTGGTTTGTAGATAGCGGTCTCCTTAGTGATGACGAGCTGAGCGTCACACGCCATGCGGATGCACTCGTCGCGGAGCGCATTGTGGGTGTTGTGCCTGTACGATGTAACGGCGCTTCGGAGGAACGTACGTCGCGCCCGCGCGAGCGATGCAGCTGACGGCGTTCCTCCAAAGAGGGTGGTCTGCGTGATGCTCAGGAAGTCGAAGGCCGGCGAAGAGCAGGCAAAGCGCTTCGTCTGCCGCCTCCTTCGCGCATGTCCCTTCGTCGCCGAAGAAGTCGGTGATGCGGGACCTCTTCCCTTCGCCATCGCGAGCAGCGCCGCTCACCGCACCGAGTGCGGCTGCCTCCGCCGCGCGCTTTCGTTCGCGCGCCTGCAGCTTCGAATTGTACGAAGTCTTCACGGCGTCACGGGCAGACTTGGGAGCCGAGGGGCAGAGCCGCACTTCACGACGTCTCATGCCGGACCAGCTGGTGATGTGTTGAGCGCAGCGGTACATGCCGCCGACGAACTTGAACTCACAATACTTGCAGATCTTCGTCGCGCTATCGCTTGAGTCGTCGATTGGGACGTTGAAGTGGCGGAACACGACATGCGTGCTGTCGGGGCAAAAGAGTGTGCTGCTAGTAGAAGCCTCCGCGGAAACAGGGGCTGCCGCAGCTGAAGGGGAAGACGGAGTGGGTCTAGGCGTGGAGGCCATGCTGGAGACGGAAGGGGAAGCTAGAGAAGAGAATGAGTTCGAAATGCTAGAATGGCTGCTCTTTATGCTTGGAAAGCGTACTCTGTTTGGGGAAAAGGGAGTTGGACATTGGGTTGGGAGAGGTGTGGGAATGACGGGGTGGAGTGGGGCTATGTTGGAAAAAACGCACAGCAAGCTTTGCGTATTGCGTATATACGCTTGCGAATATACGCAATATGCTGATACGCTTGGAATACGCGATACGCAATATCGGGGCTGCCCGGCAAAAAAAAAAAAAAATCAATTTTTTTTTGCCGAGTTCGCGACATCGCGAACTCTCAGAAATTTTCGCCCGCGTTTTTTCGCCCACCCCTCACCAGCCGTGGACGTGGAGGGAAGGCATCCCGTGTTTGTCGTCCCCCATTCCCGCCATTGTTTAGATCTGAATCACCATCTCCTTTCATTTTCCAACTCCAACCTCTCCCTCCCCTAGCTTAGCTTAGCTCAGTTCCCCTCTTACTTCACCGTAGTGGTCATGGCGTCGTCCACCCCATCAACCCCCCCGAGCGTGCCCGCACCTACTAACGATGGCGAGGCTGCCTCCTCCTCCGGCACTGTTTACGTTACGGATGCGTCGCATCCTATTTTTAAGCATTTCGAAACCGCGCTTAATGCGGACGGCAAGACTACGGAAAACCGCCGCTGCTGTTATTGCGGGCACACCTTCAATGGCGGGATGACGCGTTGCGCGCAGCACCTCGCCGAGTGGAACAAACTTCGTCGTCGCGATGTGACCCTCTGCACCGCGGTGACGCAAGACGTGCGCGACGGAGTTAAGGCGCTGTACGAGGCACGAATTAGGGAGCGGGAGGGGAAGCGCGAGGCGGAGGAGCAAGCGCTGTCTGCGGTTAACGGCTGCGGCAGCGGCAAAAAGGGGCGCATCACCAATTTTTTCGGTGACGAGTCCGCCTGCCGTAAGAAGGAAGCGGACCGGGCGCTCTGCCTCCTCTTCGCTGGTCTGCGCCTGCCGGAGCATCACGCGGACCACGTCCTCTTCCGGAATGCGGTCTCCGCCATCGCTCGCGCCGGCACTTCCTACGTTCCCCCGAAGCGCAAGTACATCGGCGGTGCCGGCCTGCGCGACTGCCGCACCAGTATCGAGGCCGCGCTGGTTCCCATCTCCAGCAGCTGGCGGCGGAGCGGCGTCACCATTGCTAGCGATATGATGACGGACCAGAACGGCCGGCCCATCGCCAACGTCCTCCTTATCAACGACTCCGGAGCAGTTTTTACTGATGCTGTGGACACAAACATGGAAATGAAGACCGGCGGCTATATTGCCGGTATTCTCCGCCCTATTATCCAGCGCGTTGGGCCGGAGAACGTCGTCGCTTTCTGCATGGATGGCGGCTCGAACTACGCCGCGGCCTGCAGGATCCTAATCGCCGAGCACCCCCACATCGAGCACGTGCCATGCGCCACGCACGTGCTCGACCTCCTCATGGAGGACATCGGGAGGATGGCGTGGGCGAAGGAGGTGGTGGAGAAGGCCAACATCATCACCTCCTTCGTCCGCAAGCACCACCTCACCCGCAACTACATGCGGAGCGATAAGGTGGAGGGGGGCAAGGGGAAACAGGTGCTGAAACCGGCCGGCACGCGTTTCGGCACCCAATTCATCTCCGTGTCCCGGCTGTGCGAGGTGCGGATGTCTCTCACTCAGCTTGTGCTGAGTGAGGAGTGGGCCAGGTTCGCGGATGGGGGGAGGAAGCCGGGCAGCGAGGCGTTCAGCGCTGCCATACTCGACTCTGACTGGTGGACCAAGGCCCTGCAGTTTGTCAACCTCATGCGGCTGCCGTTCATGGCAATGCGCGCCACCGACTCGTCGGCGAAGGGCATGATGGGTCGTATGTACGACCTCATGCTGCAGCTCACCGTTGATGTCGATGAGAAGCTGGAGGAGGCGCGGCTGGAGGGGCTCACCGCTGCGGACGCCAATGCCATCCGCCGCATGGTGAAAAGGAGGTGGGACGGCAGCATGGCGTGCCCCCTCCATGTGGTTGGCCGCATCCTAAACCCGGCCAATCAGGAGGAGGGGATCTTCCCCTCGGACATGGAGTGCACGAGGGTATTCAAAGCCTTCATCGCCCGCCACTACGAAGACAAAGAGTTCATGAGGGATGGCGAGCCCATTCGTGCAACCCTCGTGATGCAAGACGGCCTCGACGCCTTCATCACTCTGAAGGGCAGCTTCGGGCTCCCCACCGCCATTGCTGATCGTGCAGCAGTGAAGGAGGGGAGGCAGAGCATGGCGCGGTGGTGGCAGTGGCATGGGTCCGACTACCCTGAGCTTGCCGCACTGGCCTGTCGGGTGCTCTCACAGCCCGTTTCAGCGGCCGCATGCGAGCGTAACTGGGCAGTGTGGGAGGCGGTCCACACTGCCAAGCGCAACCGCCTCGGTGCCGAAAAGTGTCGGGACCTGGTCTATGTGTCCCACAACTGGCACCAGGTCCACAACTGGCACAAGGAGGACGGGGGGTCCTTGGTCCTTCCTGGGTGCAGCTCCGAGGCCCCTGTGCCCACGGGGTACAACCTGGAGGACGACCTGGAGGAGGAGGAGGGGGAGGATCTCGTCATGGAGGACGAGTACCAGTAGACCCGTCACCAGAGGCAGCTGCAGGGGGAGTGGCAGCGGCAGCACCAGGGGGGCAGGCAGCTGCAGCAGTGGGAGTAACAGCAGCAGCAGTGGACCAGTCAGCAGCAGCAGTGGGCGAGAGTGGCTGCAGCAGCTGTAGAAGTAGTAGCAGCAGTGATAGCAGTGGTAGGGGCTAGCAGTAAGCTCTTGATGTGACAAATGCCTGTGTTAAGTTATTTTAATGGAGAAGAAGAAAAAATCAAACTTGATGCCCTGCCCCCCGGGCCCCCACCCCCCCTCTCCCGGCTGCCCGCCGGTTTTTTTTCCCTGCCCGGGCAAAATTTTTTTGCCTGCCCGGGCAGCCGTATTCCTGCCGTATTGGACCCCAAATCCAAGCGTATAGCGTATATACGCAAGCGTATATACGCTAGCGTATAAAACGCAATACGCGTATTTTCCAACATAGGAGTGGGGTGGTTAGCGGTGTGATAGGGGGTTTGGTGCGCCTCGGCTTTGAAATTCGAAATTTGATGTTGATTTCGCGATGTGCGAAACCCCCGAATAGTTTCGCCCTGTCGCGAACTGTCGCGGAAATTTTGGTTTTTTTTTGCGGTCAGCCCGTGCGTATTTTGGCGAATCTACACCCAAAACGCAGCGTACGAATTTTGCTCGCGTATAAACGCAAAACGCAAACTGAAATTTTCGTTTTTTCCAACATAGACCCCAGGCCGACACACTCTTAAGCGGCACCCGCGCTTTTCGTCGCTCGTTTTCCCTGCCTTATTCCTGCCGCACACCCACCCACCATGCTCCCTACTCCCTCCGCTTTAAGTCTCCCCACTTGTCCCGCTGTTTGCCCAGGTGGCTTCCCGAGTAGCCCCCTCCCTCCCCATCCTTTCTTCCCTCCCCCAGCAACGGGGCGCACGGTGCTGCACGAGGCGGTGGTGGCAGGCAGTGTGGACGCCGCTGCTGTGCTGCTGGAGTGGGGCGCCGACCCCGACGGGGGCTCCGCCAACCAGGTCTCCCTCACACCCGCCCTCTGCGCTGCTCTCTCCGCCCTGCTCTCTCCGCCCTGCTCTCTCTGCCCTGCTCTCTCCGCGCTGCTCTCTCCGCCCTGCTCTCTCTGCCCTGCTGTGCGTGTCTCACCACTGTGTGTGAGCCCTTTTGTTAGACTCAGTGTGTGAACAGACGACTGTGGCGATGGCTTTTACGTGCTCCCTGGGAGCGCATTTTCCCTTCACGTGCGGCGTGTCCTTCCTCAGTTCTCAAGTGCACCCCCCTGCATCCCCGCCCCCCCCCCCCCCGGGCAGCAGCAGGAGGGATTTTCCCCGCCGTTGCTGTGGGCGGTGCAGGCGGGCAGCGAGGAGTTGGTGCGGCTGCTGCTGACCAACGGGGCGGACATCAACGCCACCGACGCCACGCGCTGCTCCGCGCTGCACTACGCCTGCAGCACTGGCCACAGGCAAGCCGTGGGGGGTGGACCATAGGTGCTGGGCCATAGGTGGTGGGCTGTGGGTGGGTGGTGTGTGGTGCAGGCACAGATGGGTGGTGCAGGGCACAGATGGGTGGTGCAGGGCACAGATGGGTGGTGCAGGGCACAGATGGGTGGTGCAGGCCATGTGCATGCCATGCCATGCCACTGTGCGGGAACATAGCTTGCCAACCATTCCCTCCTGCGCCTGTTCAAGCATGCCTACTGTCCAACACCTGCCGTTTTCTGCCTCCCTTCCTCCTGTTGTCCCTCACTCACTGCAGCCCCTCTTGCCCCTCAACTTCTCCCCATCTCCCGTCCCCCCTCCTCAAACACCCCTCCCACGTCCCCTGCACCCCCTTGTGTGCGGGCAGGGGCATAATAAAGCTGCTGCTGGTGGCGGGCGCCAACATGTATGCGCGCAACCGCGACGGGCTGGTGGCGCAGCAGCTGACGTCGTCGGAGCGCATCCGCGCGCTCTTCCGCAAGCTGCATGAGTACCACCTCAGGAGCGCGGGGGGAGGGGGAGTGCCGGGCGATGAAGGTGCGCACGCGGAGCACACGGGCAGCAGCAGCGGGGGCAGTGGCGCGGTGGTGGGCGGGGGGGCCTTCAGTGGGCTGGCGTTTGACGGCCATGATGGCGGGCGCTCGCTGGACCCCGCCTCCCTGGCGGACACGGGGTGCAGTGCGGACGAGAGGCTGGGAGGGGACGGGGTGTGGGAGGAGAGGAGGGACGCGAGGAGGGGGGGAGGTGCGCGGGCGGGCGCGGATGCCTTTCCCCTGTCTGCGTCGCTGGCCGCCCCGCCGTCGCGCGCCGACTGGCTGCTGGACAAGAACCGCACCATGAGCTTCCAGAGCCCCTCGCGCGACCCGCGCCCCTCGCACCTGTCGCCCTCTGCGTCCATCTCGCCCCTGGCGGCGCACCCCACCTCCCTGCCCGCGCGCTCCATGTCCTTCCGCAGCCCCTCGCGCCCCCACCTGCATGGGCCGCACCTCGCCCCCGCGCCCTCCGGCCTGTCCGGCGCGCCCCAGGGCGTGCCGGCGCGCAGCATGAGCTTCCGCAGCCCCACACGCCCCCACGTGCTGCCGGGCCAGCGCTCGCGCAGCCCCAACCCGGGCGACAGCCACGAGCACCTCTTCACTGACGCATGGGACAGCGGCCGCAGCCAGCCCGCACACCATGCATCCCCTGCCGCCGCCGCCGCCATCTTCCCCTCCTCCGGCTCCGCTGGCTCCCACGGCAGTCACAGCACGGAGGGGGAGGGTGCTGGTGGCAGGACGGTGGGTGCAGGCGGTGTGGGGGTGGTGGGCACGGTGAGGGGAGGAGCGGCTGGCGCGGCAGCAAGGAGGGTGGGCGGCAGCATGATGGGGCGCGTGCTGGACTCCGCGGCTGACAGCCTCATGGCGGCCGGAGCGGCAGCGGCCAAGCGACAGACGCACGGCAGGGAGTGGCATGGGGGCACTGGGGAAGGGGGCGAGGGAAAAGGGGGGGATGTGGGAGGGAGGGCAGCGGGGAGGGGGATGGGGGTGGGGGGGGGCCTGTCGGGGCACGGGGAGGTAATGTCAGACGTGGAGGGCGGGGCCGTGCGCTCCAGGCGGGCGCGCGTGCCGGGGAGCAGCAGCCTGGGGGGCATGCTGAGCGACGGGGGGGGGGAGGGCAGGGCTGCAGCAGCAGGGGAGTCCAGGCTGGGCAGGGCGACTGGCAGGGGGACTGGTGGGGCTGTGAGAGGGAGTGCGGGGGGAAGGGGTGGGGGGGAGGGAAGAGGGAGAGGGGCAGAGGGTGTGGGTCGAGGGGGGGGAAGAGGAGGGGTGGTGCGCACGCAGTCGACGGCGGCTGAGGCGAGTGGCGAGCGCGCGGGGATGGGTGCGGAGGGGGCGGTGGCAGGCGGCGGCGGGAAGAAGAGCCCTCCAAGCAGCGGGCGGCAGGGCGGGTTGCAGCAGCGAGGGGCGGTGAGCCCGAGAGATGTGGACAGACAAGGGGGCGAGAGGTCGGGGAGTGATGGGGGGGGGAGGCAGGGAGACGAGCAGTCAAGTCAGAGGGGTGTGTTGAGAGCAAGGAGGGACAGGGGGAACGGAGTATGAAGGAGAGGGAGGGAAGTGGAAAGGATGTTGGGGGAAGTGCGAAGGAGAGAGGGGGGAGTGGGAGAGAAGGGCAGGGCAGTGGCGGGGGCAGTGCAGCTGTTGATGGTAGGGACGGGTCGTTGGCTGATTCCTCTCACTCGGAGAGCGACCGAGGGGAGCAGAGGGCGAGGGATGGGGGCAGGCGGTTGGTGAGGCGGGGCACGTCACAGGAGGAGAGGGCGAAGAAGGGCGGGAAGGCAGGGGCAGCAGGCACTAGGCTGGGGGCAGGGGAGCCTGCTGCTGTGGCAGGTGGTGGTGGTGGTGGTGGGAGGGGAGGGCAGGGCCCAGGTGGAGCGAGGCGAGCGGGCAGCAGTGAGGTGGTGGAGGAGGGGTCAGGTGGAGAGGGCAAGGGCGGGGCAGGCGAGGGCAGAGGCGGCACGGATGGCAGAGCAGTGCCAGACTCCGGCCCGCGCTCCCCCCTGCACGCCCCCTCGCCCCTGACCTCCCCCTCTGCCTTGTCGCCGCCCTCCTCTCAGCTGCGCAGGCAGGCACTGGAAGGCCGCAGCAGGCAGGGCAGTGGGGGTGAGGGGGCGGGCCGACAGGGGCAGCAGGGGAGGCAGGTGCAGGGGGAGGGGGGCCGGCAGCAGCAGCAGGGGAGGGAGGCGAGGGAGGGTCGGGAGGGGGGCGACTGGCCGTCAAGTGACACGGAGGTGTCGCTGCGAGTGCGGCAGCAGCGAAGACCTGGGCTCGGCCTCTCCAGGCCGGGTGTCTCCGCCCCCTCCGCGTCCCCTCCCCCTGACTCCGCTGCCGCATCCCGTCACGCCCGCGTTCACGGCAGCAGCAGCAGGGGCGTGGTGGGTGGTGGTGGGTCGGAGGAGAGGGCAGCAGGGGGGGCTGGGGGAGGGGGCGCGCAGCGCTGCGGCGGCAGGGAGGTGGTGACGGACGACGAGAGCATGCGCGCCAGCAGAGGTCCTCGCCCCGTGCCATCGTCACTCAGACGCCTGGGCTCCGGTGTGCCGGGGGGTGCGGGCGCCGCCGCAGGGAGGCAAGACACAGCCTCAGACACACCAGCAGCAGCGCCGTCAGTGGCGGCAGGGGCAACAGCGAGGGGCAAAGGGGAGCGGCCTGGCAGCTCAGGGGGACGAGTGGAGAGGCCGGGAAGTTCAGGGGGCAAGGGAGAGAGGCCGGGCAGCTCAGGTAGTGCTGCTCCCAGCGCTCCTAGTGTGGCAGCGACTGGTGCTGGGGCTACCGGGGTTGGCGGTGGTGGAAGTAGTGGCGGCGCTGCTGCTCCTGCTGCTGCTGCTGCTGCTGCTGCTGCTGCTGCTGCCAAGTCAGCAGCCAGTGACGGCAGTGACACGGCCGCTGCCCAGCCCTTGCGTGTGCGCAAGTCCGTCAAGTTTGCCCTCCCTGCAGCTGGCAGCACCAAGGGTGCTGACACCAGCACGACAATGGGTGAGAATAGTCCTGTGGCAGGCGAGGAGAGCGTGGGTACGAGGAGTGATGAAGCTAGGGGTGCGAGCAATGGGGGGGGCACTGATGGTGAGAGGGGTAGGGTCGAGGAGGAAGGGAGGGAGGCAGTGGTAGAGGGGGAGAGGGAGAGTGGAGGAGCGGCAGAGAAGAAGGTGTGTGCACGGCCGCCACTCTCCCCCAAGCTCGCAGTCACGAGGGAAGGCGCAGATGCGGGGCCAGGGCCAGGAGAAGCAGGAGACGCGGCACACACCAGTCAAGCAGACGGAGTTGGTGCTTCACCTGCCATCGCGCCCCACAGCGCAACGCCCTCTGCCTCCCCCAAGACCGTTGATCCCACTTCCCCAACTACCGTCTCCCCCAACACCCCATCTCCGACCACCCCCCCCACCCCCCCACCACATCTCCTGCCACGCCTGTTATTGCGCCTGCTGCTGGTGGTGAGGACGCGGCATGTGGCGCCTCCGCATCGTTCAAATGGAAGAAGGGCGAGATGCTGGGCGAAGGCGCATATGGCAAGGTGAGTGGGAAGCAACGGCCTATATGGCTAAGTGGGCAAATTCGCTTGGGGTTCCCCAGCATATGGCGTAAATTCGTCAGCGTAAATTCGTCAGCTAAATTCGTGTTCGCGAATTTAGTTGAAATACGTGAATTCGCTGGGGGGTTTTTCGGGGCAGCCCAGACAAAGAGATGCAGGAAAAAAAAATCGAGATCCGCGAAGTTACGGCGAAGCCAACCGTGGCCTTGCCAATTCGCGATTCCAAACAAGCTTCCTACCCCTTCAAAGCTCCCAACCGCATCAAACCCCCTTGCCTCTAGAAAACCCAACCAAACCACCACGCGACTCACGCTACTCTAGCACGCTAGAGGGCGTAGAGCAGAAACCCAATCTCTCCCGTAGCGTAGATCGCACTACCCTAATTCTGTGACGTTCTAGCTAGTCGATCGTATTTAAGCTTAGAACCTAGCCTACCTCACGAAAATCCGAGCAGCATGGTTGACCCTCTCAGATCGGAGTGGGTGGTATGGATGGTTCATGATGTTGCTTTTGGTTGTTTGATTGTCTTGTTGTGATGGATCCCCCCAAACACTAGAACCAGCCATGAACTTTAAATAGGAATATTTATGTCGTGCTAAAACTTTGTGCTTAAGAAGTGTTGCCATGAAACCTCCCACCCCACGTAGGGTTGAGCAAAATACCTGGGCGGGGACGGTACCCGAACCCGGATCCGCTTTCAGGGCGGGTCGGGTATCAGGATTCCCGAATATTACCCGGCGAGTCGGGTACGGGTTACCCAGGTGGGTATTCGATACCCGTTACCCGAAAACTTACCCAACATGTCGGGTATCGGGTACCCGAACCGTTGGGTATTGAATACCCGACTTGGGGTACCGCCCCTCTCATGCTGGCAAAAGCGCTACCCGATCCAGTTTAGGTTGTTTTTTAAAGACCACGCTGTCGACGCCCACCTCGGGGGGCCACCATGACAAACGCGCCAATGGCAACAGAGGGTAAAACAGAGGTTGTTCAGACATTTTTCCATGGGCGGGTAGCAATACCCGGTTTTAGCCTTAAACGGGTCGGGTATACCCGGATCCGCCTGGTGGGTATTATATTACCCGCCATTAAGGGCTGGATCCGGGTAATGGTCCTGGGGGTATTCCCAGACCCGGACCCGATCCGAGGTCGGGTATGGCAAAACCGGGTCGGGTTGGGTTTTTACCCGGTTTTGCTCATCCCTACTCCCACGCCCGTAGTACCGTGGAAACTGGTTTTTTCCCCTGCCCTGAAAGTTTTTTTCTGCCCAGTCCAAACGAATTTTAGGGCGAATTTAAAACCGGCCCCTGGCGTATGGGCGAATTTACGCCAAACGCGAATTTGCCCACTTAGCTATTTGGCCAGGTGAGTGGGAAGCAACAGCCTATATGGCACGGTGAGTGGGAAGCAACGCCCTACATGGCAAGGTGAGGGAAATGCTCTTCTCACAATGATAGGTTAGCTGGTTCCAATTGCCCCGGTGCGAAGGTGCTACAGGCGTGGGTGCAACTGTTGTGTGAGCTTTTAAAGACTACTTGTCAACTGTTGTGTGAGCTTTAAAAGATTACGTGTCAACTGCTGTGTGAGCTTTTAAAGATTATTTGTCAACAGTTGTGTGTAGACATGATCAAAATGCGATTGCGATTTAAATCGAATCGCATGCCGGTGCGATAAAAAAAAAAAGCCGATGCGATTAAGTATCGCATCGCGCGATTTAAATTTCTGGGAAATTAAATAGCACATCGCTTTTTGACCGCGATGTATTAGAAAACCGCATGCGGTGTTTTATTAAATCGCGCGATGCGATTTTAAATCGCATCGCATTTAACACAAAATTTAAAACAGCTCTAAAAACCTGGAAAAAAACAACGGGGACTGCTGGAATTTGGATCACGAGATGGGGTGAGGGAGTTTCCGGATAAATAATACGGTTTAGAGTGGGTTTCACATAGGTGTGAGCCCCCGTGGAATAAGGGCCCGACTTTCGTAGCACAAAGTAAGGGCAGGTGTTTGAATAAAGGGGGGGGGGGGGTGGGGAGTAGGAGGGTTTGGGGGGGGGGGGGGGAAGGGAGGGGAAGAAGCAAGCATCAAGCATAGTCATCGGTGAAGCACAATGTCAATATAAGGTAATCTCCTAGCTTGGCCCGAACCCCCCAGCACGCTCGCCCTCATAGCCCTGGACCGATCTCAAGGCCCAGCTCCCACGCCTCGTCGGCCGTCTCGTCATCTTCCGCTGCTAGCGCGCCATCAAGCGCTGTCCTGGGTGAGAGGCAATCCATGACTTCAGCATCATGCAAGCACGGATTCGCTCTGCCCCCAAGTGGTAGCGCTGCCAATGGATGAGGTTGCGGCCCTTTGAGAACAGGCGCTCGCAGGGTGCAGAGGTGGCCAAGATGGCAAGGTAATCCCGAGCCATGCGCTGCAGCGCTGGAAGCTCCGAGTGGACCTTCCAGAACTGCAAGGGGCAGTCGTGCAGTTCCGCCAAGGGGAGTGACAAGTACTGCTGGATCTCATCCTGCACCGATGAGATCTGTGCGGCCCGCACCGATGCGAGGTGAGTGGACACACCCAAGTCCTCATCCTCCTAATCCTCGGACTCCCTCTCCTCCCCTCCCTTCCTGCTGCTGGCCCCCTCTACCGCCGCCGCCCCCCTCTTCTCAGCCGCCTCCTCATCCACCTTTTTCTTGTACTTCTCCCACCTCTCTCGCACCAACTCCTCCACCTCGCCGGCATCCAACTCCTCCACCACCCTTGTGCTGCCTTCCACCATCGGCCGCTCAAACGACACTCGCTTCAGTGCCGGGTCCAAGAATGTGGCCATGTTGAAGTCGTCGGTGCTAGAATAGAAGTACGTGAGCATCCAACGCTTGGGACACGCACCGCGCCATCACCGACCCCGCCTTCGCCGCTACCAGCTTGCGCTCCAGCCAATCCAGTACCCCATTGTACTATGGCACCACACGCGCCACCGTGGGTTACACCGACCCCTCTGCCGCAAGAGTCACGTTGTTGAACGGCACCTGGAACGCCATCAACTCCTGCAGGAGCGCCCACTCATCTTCTGTAACTGCCTTCTTATCTAGCTCGGCCTGCTCCTTCTTGTTACACCCCTGGATTCGAACAAACAAGGGTGTGGGGGAGGGGGAGGAGAGGGAAGGTGGGAAGGGAGGGAGGACGAGGGGTATGCTTTTCCGAAAGGGGCTTGGAGAGTGGCGGGGCGGCCATGGCTGTGCGATGGAGGTAAGTAGGTGGCAGCGGGTTGGTGGTAACCAAGTGACTGCGGATTGGAGGTGTGTCCAGCTCGGAACCTCCCTAGCCACAAAGGCCTTGATTGGGCCCTTGAGCACGATCGCCCGCCGCAGCATGGCGTGGGTGGAGCCCCAGCGCACCGGGTTGTCCTGCTTCAGCTTAAGTGGCTGCTTCCCAGGGAACTGGTGACGCTGCTCCTTCTCGAAGGCGGCCGTCTTGTTCACTGAGAAGCCAATGCGCGACGCGAGGTTGCGCAGCTTCTTTAGCGGCGCTTCCACCTCCGGCACCCCACCCATAGCCTCATGCACTGCAAGGTTGTTGACGTGGGCGAGGCACCCGCACCAAATCCAAGGGTTTGGAGGTTAGAACAATTGACCACGCCTTGTGGAAGGGATAGGGCAACGAAGCGCAGCAAGGTGAACATACATAGGCAGCGAGAAATGGCAAGGGGGTCTTGCACTTCTTTCCATCTCCCTGATCCCCTGCCTTGAGAAGATCGAACGTCGCCCCGTTCACAGACGCGTTGTCGATGGTGAGCGCCATACACCGCTCGGCAAGCCCCCAATCCTCGATCACCTCCTCCAGGATGTCTGCGACCATCCTCGCTGTGTGGCTGGCGGTAAGAGGCCTGAAGTCCAGCATCGCCTGCTTCAGGTTCTACTGGGCGTTGATGCAATGTGCCGTGATGCCCATGAAACCAATGTCGTTCTCCGACGACCAAATGTCCGTCGTGTAGGAGACCGCACCCACCCCCTTGTCAGCCGCCAACTCGGCCTTCGCCAGCACCTTGCACTGCGCCGCCTGTCGCATGATGAGACGGGCCAGCTTGTGACGCGAAGGAATGACCCCCAGCTGAGCAAGCCGGGGGTTGGCCTCACCCATGAGGCGGCGGAACTGATGGAGGGCGAGGTAGGGTGGAGAAAAGAGGAGGGACCATGGTGAGTGCTACTGACGAGCACCCAAGACGTAATGCGCATTGAACAATAGAACAGCGCTGCTGAACAGGAGAAGTTGAGACAACAACACGCAATTGGGAGGGTGGCAGGCACTCACACTATCGCGCTCGACTATGCTAAACGCAGAGTCGGTGTCGACAATGTATTCGACGAGCAGCTACTCCCAGCACGGCAGGTCTAGGGGTTTCTGCATGTAGCGCAGAATCCCGCACCCCCTCGCCCGGCCGACCGGAGCCCCGTCGTCCTCCGCGTCCTCCAACCTGGGCCTGAAGGCCGACCCCCACCAGGTACAGCCACCGTCTGGGACCTCACCGTCCCCGAATCCCCCCTTTGGTAGCAGGTCCCCGACCTTCATTTCCCCCTCCCGCCTCAACTTGGTCAAGATGTCCTAGTGAGCCCTGTGGTAACCAACTATGTGAGACCGGCCGTTCGACGTGGTGCGTCTCGCGAAGCTCTTCAGGAAGTTGCACTCCCTTCACCTCCTCCAACTCGGCACCGCCTCCTCGTCATAACAAGCCGCCACACACCGTGGTGGATCCTTCTCCACCTCCGTGGAGGAGCCCACATGACCCTGGTCAGTCGCCTCATGACCCTCACCCCGGCTACCCCCCGCCTTCCCCCCCCCCCCTGCCGGCATCCATGGGAGCCCAGGCCGCACCCCGCCCCCTCCCCCCTCCCCCACGGCTGCCCCCCGCCTCGTGGAGGTATCCGGGTGACATGCCAGGCCGGCCGACATCCTCGCGCAGGGGTCCCTTCCGCCCCCTGCCCCGCCCCCTGGGTCGGCCCCGGGGACGGCCCCTGGGCGCCCCCCCTCCCCCCCCATCCCCCTCCGTAGGTGTACGCGCCTTCTTCCCTGAAGAACTGACCGAGGGAGAAGGCCCGTCATCCACCTTGCGTTTCCCCTTCCCCTCACTGCCAACTCCCCATCCTCCTCCTCATCCCCCTCGCCATCGCCCCCTCTCCCCCCCTCTTGTCCATCCTCCTCCGCCACCACGTCGTCGTCCTCATCCTCCTCCTCCTCATCCCCCTCCTCATAGTCAGTCCGCACCCCCTCCGCCGCTGCTCAGATCCGCCAAGTGTCCCCGTCCTCCGCCTCATCCCTAATGGACAGCTTGCCCGCAAGGACGGGCTCCCTAGCGTCCGTCGCGCCACTCCCCTGCGTCCCAAGCCCGCCGTCGTCGGGGGCTCCTCCCATGTCCCCTCCGCCTTCCACCCCTTTCGAGGTACCCGCCCTAATCCCCTGCAGCTTGGCTAATGCCGCCTCCGTCATCATCCTACGCTGCGCGCGCGCGCGCTTCCTTGCCCGTCAATGTGTGCGCTCGAGTCTGAGCATCCGGCTCGTCCTCGCCGCCGCGACCCGCGCCACCACCACTCCTACCGGCCCCCCGCCCTGCACCTCCTCTCCACCCCACCTGCCCATCGCGGAACTTTAAAGCGGCTCCTCAACTAAAACCCGAAGCCCTAATGCGGCCGCTTCGAGGCGCGACGCGTGCTACACCCTACAGTAGGCATGAGCAAAACCGGGTAATTACCCGACCCGACCCGGTTTTGCTATACCCGATCTCGGGTCGGGTATTTTCGGGTCAGGTCCGGGTCGGGTATTACATCCCGGGCCAATACCTGGACCCGCTTTTTATAGGCGGGTATTTTAATACCCGCCAGGCGGGTCCGGGTATACCCGACCCGAATTAGCATAAATGCGGGTAATGCTACCCGCCCATACAAGGCCTGAAGGAGGTCTGTTTTTTTCACAAATTGATTTTCCATGTTCATCTAACTGTCTCCTAGGGTTGAGACATCAATATGGCCATGAAAAAAATTGTTCCCTGGATTTATGTGGGTTTGTTGCGACCACCACGATACTACTTACTTGCTTAGCTTGTTCGGGATTGATATACATGGCATCAACATATACCTACTATTAATAAAGGGCACACAATTCACTCTACAGCTGGTCACAATCATTTGACAAGTATGATGCCATGTCTGCATGGCCCTAGAGCTCAATGCTGGGTCCGAGCATGGCACAAGCACTCGAATGTATGTCATAGGAAAAACTGCCCATAGGGGCTAACCCTGTACCCATGCCTCACAACCCCTCATCGTCACCCTCAAGGCACAGCCCCCCCATGGCCCGATCCAGCGTCGCTAGTGGGAGGCTGCCGTCGGCGCGCTGTGCCATCCATGACTTGAGAGTCATGGATGCACGCACCTGAGCAGTGCTCAGGCGGTGACGCTGCCAGGTGACCACGTTCCGCCCCTGGCTGAACGCCCGCTTGCTCGGTGCCGAGGTTGCAGGGATGGCAAGGTAGTCTCGTGCCCTCCGCCTGTTCGCCCGTCCGCTTGTCGCGTGCCGACTGTGGAATGGGGGATGTTGAGGAACACGAAGTAGCGGAGGGGGAAACTCATATTTGGGGAGGGTAATACACATAGGCGGACTTGGGAGAATTGAAGGAACTAGCTTGGAAGTGAAAAGATTGAATTGAGTAGGGAGCCAAGAGGCTCTTTTGTACAAAACAAGGAGCAAGGAAGAGTTGGAATGGAAGCTCTGCTATTGGCCATAAAGTGGACCAATGGGAGAGGCTGCTTGTAGGGCAAGCAACCACGAAGTGTGGTGCTCTCCGATTGGCCACAATGTGGACCAATGAGAGAGATTGCTTGGAAGGCAAGCAACCACAAAGTGTGGTGCTTGGTGATTGGTTGGTTCCTAGGACCAAGGACCATTTGGTTGGAATAGTGCCAACCAAATGTCGAGGACCAAATCCAATCTTGACCAACCCAAATGTGGGGTTGGTCAACCCAACCAACAACCCCCCAATAATTATAATGACTACACCTCCTAATCTAGGCATGCATGTTGTATAGATATATATTTTACAACACAACCCCCCAACATGCATAAGACTAGAGGGCTTGAATCAGGAGGCGGACGAGGGAACGGGGGAAGCGAGTCCAAGAAGGCGAAGGAGGGATGAGTGGGCGGCGTGGGGGAGGGCTTTGGTGAAGATGTCGGCAAGATTGGCAGCAGAGTCAATCTTGCCCAGCTGGACATGGCCACCCTGCACAAGCTCGCGAATGAAGTAGTGGCGAGCGGAGGGGGAGGAGTGGGACGGGGAGGGGGGGGGAAAAAAAGGGTCAGGGTCAAATATGTCACCAGAGGAGGGGGGAGCGCTAGGGACCGAGGCGGCTAGGAATGGAGGAGGTGGAGCGGGGGGGAGGATGGGAGGGGGATGGAGAAGAGGGGGTGGGATAGTGTCGGACCAGTTGAGGGGCCTGGGAGCAGGGGTGAGAGGGTCAGTGGGGGGAGGAGTGGAATTGTAGGGTGTGGACTCATCCAAGACTACATCCCGACTGCGGAGGAAACGACCTGAGGGGGGGTGAAGGAAGAGGTAGTCCGGAGAAGAGGGATTATGACCAAGGAAGATGCAGGGGAGGGTACGGGAGTCGACCTTTCCCATGGTGCGGGGGCGGTCTGCAGGGTGAATGAGGACATACGCCCTGGAGCCCCACACACGGAGGGAGGAGACGTCAGGCTTGGCCGACGTCCAGAGCTCGGAGGGAGTGGTGGAGGGAAGGATAGGGTGGGGGTACAGGTTAGTAAGGAAGGTGGCGTGAAGGAGGGCATAGCCCCACAGAGAAGGGGGGCAAGAGGCATGGACGAGGAGACACCGAGCAATCTTGGTGATCTTCCGAACACGGCTCTCGGCCACACCATTCTGCTGGGGGAAGTGGGGGAGGGTGTGAGTCTGGCGAATGCCATGAAGCTCACAGTAGGAGGCTACCTAACGATTAAGGAATTCGCCACCGCCATCAGAGTGAAGGCGGCGCACAGGGCGGCCAAAGTGGGTGCTCGCCTGCTTGAGCCAGGCGATGATCGCAGCCTGAGCGTCACCCTTCGAGCGAAGAAGGGAGACGGACGAATATCGGCTGTGATCATCGACCAGAACAAGCATGTAGCGATGGCCCTGGCGGGAAGGGGAGGGGTTGGGGCCCCAGAGGTCCATGTGAACAAGATCAAGCGGCTGAGCAGCAGCGGAGGGGGAACTCCGATGCGGCAGCTGCTTGAGCTTGCTCTGGACATAGACGGAGCAGGGAGGGGCAAGGGAGGGAGGGAGGGGAGGGAGGGTGAGGGGAAGACCTCGAAGGAGACCTGAGGAGACGGTCGAGCGGAGGTTGGCAAAGTTGGGGTGACCAAGCCTGTGGTGGAGGAGGACGGTGGGATGGGAGAGGGATCGACAGGAGCAGGTTGGGTCAGGGGGGAGGGGGGAATGGTTGGATTAGAAGGAGGGAGAGGAGGGGGAGGGATGTGAGGTGGGGGGAGGGAGCGGGAGACTGCCTGGGCAGAGGGAAGACGAGGAACTCGAAGAGTATATAGGCGGGAGCGAGGACAAAAGGGAATACGGGAGAGGAGGCGACCTGTGGGATGATATAGGAGGCAGTGATTAGTGCGACTTGGAAAGACGGTGGTGATACCGGCCTGCTGCAGGGATCGCTGGGAGAGGAGGTTAGTACGGAGGGAGGGGATGTGTAAACCAGTGACGGTACCTGAGGGGAAGAGGGGACAGGAGAGGGTAGAGGTGTGGCGACAGGGAATAGAGAAGCTGGAATCAACACCAAGGAGGGAGGTGGGGGCTGGGAGAGGGTGAAGGGTACCAGCATCACG